AAAGAAAAAATACGTGTCTCATTATTTGGACCAACAAACAATGTATTTGAGTTTGGTCGAAATTAAAAATCATGCTCGTACCTGACCGGTTGTCTGGAAATGGAAAGCATCAGTTTTAATATATTTTAAATAGATTTGGATCACAAAATTTCTTAAATATATTGTATGTCAAAATATATTCGAAAGACGCACTTAAACTCTCTGAAACTCTCTGCTCCTGGCCAGTTTTCTAAGCTCTCATCCTTGGACTAATCGTTTAACCAGAACTCTGTTGTACTAATTAAACTATTTTTTACCACGTTTTTATAAACTCGTTTTCTTTTTTATTTCACTTTAATTTGGACAAATTTATATATGTACATATGTATAAGCACACTATTTAGTTTGCTCGATTTGTAAACAAAGCTTGTCAGCGGTGAAAAATGTACTATTGTGAACAACCTAAACGGGCGAAATTCATAATGGCGCTATTCTTCATCGAATGAGCGCCATAATACCAAATGAAAATTCGTTCCATCAGCACTTTCGACCAACAACAACAACCATAGTCGAAGATCGAATGCAACTCATAATAGGGGCCTCAATTTCTTAATTGTATGTAGAATGGTTGCCACCTGTTTCAAAAAGCAAGTTCGGCTTAAATAAAGGCAGAAAAGTGAAATGTATATCCTGATATAGATGTCAGACGAAAGAGGTTGTGGTTTGAAAATATTTTGCAGAGGGTTGCCACCTTATTACAAAATTATATTCAATATAAGCAATAGGTTAAATAAATTACTTCAATGTGAATATACATCAAAATTGCTTTGAAGAAACTTATTTTGACACTGCATGTAGGAGTGTTGCCACCTGATTTTATAATTAAATTCAAATTGAATTAAGAGGATTAGATAATTTAAATATGTGTCACAATAAAAGCGTCAGACGAAAACGGCTTAACGAGGTTTTGGTTTGAAAATAATTTGAACAGGATTGCCATCTGTTTGAAAAGTCGAATTAAATTAAATTATATGAAATATTGGCGTCAAACAAAGGATTATTAAGAAAAATTTAGTTTCAGCATTTATAACATTAAAGATGGTTCCACCTGTGTAAAAAGTTAAATTCAAATTATTAATTAAGTCAAATGAATTATTAAAGTATGGTTATAAATTGACATGGGTTAAAATGTTTTTTTTTCTCAACTTTTTGGGTTGGGTTATAACTCTTATCGACGAAATAAAAAATATTTCTCATCTAATAACTGTTATGGAGCAAGGTTTTTGCGATAAAACTTATAACTGTTATGTCCCTGTTTATTAGGCGTCCTTTTTAGCAGTATTTTTCGAAATTGAAAACAAGAATTGGTTTCGTATGTTCTTTGGTATGTAGCTAATGGCCAGATGCGCCGGCGTTATATGAGACGCCGGCGTCGCCGCCGCCGCCGATTATTTCTAAGATTGACCACCGCAATATCTATCGGCGTAAACCCTAGTTCCCATATGTTTTAGAAATTAAATTAAATTTGAAATAAGGGATAAGATACACAATTTAAATATGTATCGCAATATGTGTGTCAGTCGAAAAAGGTTTAACAAGGTTTTGGTTTTAAAATATTTTGAATAGGGTTGTCAATATTATAATTTAATTAAATGAAATATTAAAACATGACGTGTAACGAAGGTGGTAAGATATCCTTAGTTTAAATATTAATAATACTAAAGAGGGTTGCCACTTGTTTAAAGAGGTACACTGAGGGAAACAATTTTTAGAATTAAAAAAAGCGATCTAAATTAAAAAAAAATACGCATATGAAAGGGAACCAACCCTACTCGTTTTAAATTTAAGTATGGCTCATTCCACGGTAATCCATACCGAATGCAACGAAAATAAGCTTAAGAATTTGCCTGTATTATTTCTAGTAAGTAAGTGTAAATAAATCTAACTTTCAAGACTGAAAGCCAAAGTTCCGAAATTTATCTCAAAATCTGATTTTTTTTTACTTTAGGTTGTACCATTTACACACCCATATGAGAGGTTATTTTTTTCAAAATTTACAAGACTGATTTTCGTAGTCTATTATCTTTTAAGCCGTCAGTGGAGAGAACAATTCGTCGGCATAATTTTAAAATTTTTCGGGCTAGTACTAAATATTTTATTATACAGTTGTCCACAAAATAATAGGAGTGCGATATTTTGACCAGTTTTGGCTATTTATCTTTTGTTTATTTAATGTTTATTATTTTTTTATAAAAGCCTAGCTGGCTACACAACAAACACCATATAAATTCAGATTTTAAACTTTGTATAAAAATT